GTGTCAGGATGGACCACTGGTTTAATAGTCTGAAATAAAGAGCAGAAAGTGCCTCAGACATTAAATAAAAAATGCCATAGAGCATTTGAGTGAGAGAATTTGAGACTGGACAGTTGGATTTCCTGGTGCCTTTGATGGCCTTAACAAATGTAGTTTTGGTGGAGAGGTGGGGTGAGGACCTGGCCAGAGAGGGTTCAAGAGAAAATCAGAGGAGAGAAAGTGGAGAATGTGAGTAAACATTATTCTGAGAAGTTTGCTGTTAACAGGGGTGGAAAAAAATGAAATAATAACTATTTGGGTCCACTATGGAGTCAAGGAAAATGTGTGTATGGGTGAGAAATTAAAAGCAATATTTATATTTTTGGGAATGATCCAGTAGAAAGGGGAAAATTCATGAGTAGATACAGAAACAGATACCGCTGAAGTGAAATCTTTGAATAACCAAGGAGACAAATTCTTTGCGACTGGTTGGTCTCAAGGCAGGAAACATAGATGTAACAAGTGTTGGAATCAGAGAGATTTGGAAGTGGTTGATTTGAAGTTGGAAGGATATGGAAATTCTCATCTGACCATCTGTTATCTCGACAAAATAGGAAGCAAAGTCATTAACAGATAACGAGAAGATAAATGTTAGACACTTTCAGAGTTAAAAAATAAATGGGAGTTGGGAAAGATGAAGTGATTAGACCTTGTTGGCTAATTATCAATCATCTCAGATCAGGACCCAGGAAAGTGTTGAGACAGATGCTTTGGAATTGTGGTAGGCTGATCAAAGCATTCCTGTGAATCCACTTGAGCTGTATGATCATAACATTAAACAAAGACTGGTCAGGAAGGTGTGTGTTCTCAGTCCAGTTCAGCTGCCTGGTTACAGAGGTGGAGTAAGTGAGGAGTTGAATGAATAAGTGAATACAGTAAAGTAAGAGAAAGGAAGGGACCACAGGGTGAATGGAGAGATCTGTGTTGAACTATGGAATCTTACATGGTTAGGAGAAAAGTAGAGGCATGAAGGAAGCAAGGGCAGAGAGATGTGTGGTCAATAGGCTGAGGCTGCCTGTGTGGCTGGGGTAACAATGCAAACTGTAAAAGTTTGAAACACTCAGAAAAATGGCCTCTTTAATGGGCTGAATAATGTCCCTCAAAAATTCATGTCTACGTGGAACTTAAGAATGTTACATTATTTGGAAATAGGATCTTCGCATATGTAATCAGCTAAGATGAGGTTAGACACTAGATTAGAATAGGCTTTCTATCTTATAACTGGTGTCCTTAATTAGAAGAGCCAGTGACACACAGGCGGGGAAGGAGAGGGTCTGTCACTACAGAAACAGAGATTTGAGTAATACAGTATAGCTACAAGCCAAGGCATGCTACGGATCGCCAGAAAGGACTAATTAGGAAGAGGCCAGGGAGGGGTTTGTCCCTGGGGGATTTGGAGGGAGCATGTTCTTGCCTGTGTCTTTGTTTTGGACTTCTAGAATTTGAAACTGGCAAAGAGTAAATTTCTATTGTTTTGAGCCAGTTTGCAGGACTTTACTATGCCAGCCCTCGGAAGCTGTTATAACCGGCTGATTTCTATGCAGTCAGTGGCTCCCAGCTTTGAAATGCCCTCATGGTGATTAAAGAGTCATTCTTTGTAGATTCACTTGGCTGTGGACCAAAGCTGCCTGGCTCTCTGGGGCAGGGCGTGCCAGCGCAGCCACTGATGTTTTGGTGATGCCACAGCTTGCACAGAGGGGTGTGTTCAGCAGGGCCTCGGGCCCCTTTCTCTCGGTGTAACACTCAGTGTCACAGTGTTTAGTCCCCTGCAGCTGCCCTCACAAGAAGGGGAGATTTCCTGTGCAAATATCCTCTTGCTGTGAGGCAGATTCTGGCTGTGGCTATAGCACAGGTGGGTTCCTCCCTTCCAGCTTTTCAGCCTAACATCTTTGTAGCAGCAGTGTTTTCAGAAGCAGTGGGTTCTTCATGACCTGCAGTCTGTTTCTAGAGCATCCCTGAGCAGAATGAGTGCTTGTCCAGAGTCGACCCTGCAGAGGGGCAGGATTACCCCTGCTTTTTTCCAGTTTGCTGCCCTCACCAGCCACCAGCCCCAAGGAGAACAATCCACACCAGTGAGGAAGCCCCACTTGGGCCCAGGGTGACCAAAGAGTGCTCCCCTTACCTGCTTGGAGGACCATGAAGCCATCTTTTTCAACCATTGCTCAGTCTGGAATAGATTTCAGAAAGGGAGCTGGCCCTCACGGCTTTGCTGAGGCTGGTTCTGGGTTGAGAGGAGCACTCCATTAGCTGTCTGAATGCTCTTTTCTGAAAAATGTGCAGTAATTCTCCTGTCCATGCAGGATTTGAGTAAGGCCTGGGGGAGTTACCAAGAAGGACAGGCAGTTCCCTGCATCTGAAGAATGTCTGGGAATGGGGGAGGCATGCAGGCCAGCCAGCAACTTCAAGACTGTGGTAAGGACCAGAGAGAAGAGTGTGGGAGGCGGGGAAGTCTGTTGGGTCACAGTTGATTCACCTGAGACTTGAGGGAGGAAAGGAACAGTCTCTCTCAAGGGCTACTCTCAGAGCCTGGATCCAGGTGTTCTGGGACAGGAACCTGAGAGGCCTTTTTTAGAAGCCTCTTTAAGAATAGGGAGGAAGAAGCCCCTCCCCAATCACCTTACAGAGGTCCAACGTAGCTGTTCCTCATGTGTGGCTTCTGTGGTGTCCTCACAGCACGCGGACATGGATGTTGTGGCATTAGGAAGATGGACCTTCCCCCACGTGCACCAGAGATGAGACCCCGTTTTTAACCAGTGAGGCAGAGTGAGCCTGGGATTAGCTCAGCTCCTAATAACCTCCCAGAGGCAACGGCTTCAGCTTTTTGGATCTCAGTTTTTCTGTTTGAAAAATGAGATGAGGGAGAACATAGACCTAGGTTCTGTAAGATACCTGCTGGTTTAACATGTGGGTCTGTAAAGCCCTGGAGGAAATGTACAGCAGATCCAGAAAGCACTGAGCCAGGAAGCAGAGGGTGGAACAGGAAGCCACATGCTCCTGCAGTGCACAGAAGACCAAGGGGCCCAAGGAGGGACACGAAGAGCTTGGTCAGACAAGGAGGAGGACAGCTTCCATGATCCAAAGGTGTACACATGGACCCAGGGTCCAGAGCCCTGGAAGATCAGCATGCGCATGTGGAGAGGGCTCTTGGCTTAGTACAAAGAGGTCAAGGTCAACCTGTGAAGAACCAAAGCCAGGCAAGGACAGGCTAAGCTGAATGCATGGAAGACACGGAGGATGAGTCACCCCGGGCTACACTATGAAGTAGCACATTTGAGGGGCCCTCCTTCACCTCTCCTCACTCTATCGCTATTGCTCCCCCCTGCTCACTGACCACTTCTCAGAAGTGTTCCATGCTCCAGAAATACCTCTCCCATCTGTCATCTGTGTCCCATCCCCAACTCCTGACTCCCAGTGTGATGGTACTAGGAGATGACGCCTTTGGGGCCCTTAGGTCATGAGTATGGAATTCCTCTGAAAATGGTCAATGCCTTTATAACAGGTCCAGGAGAGCTCCTTCATGACTTCACCACATAAAGAGTAGGGAGAAAGTAGTGTCTCTAAAAGGGGACCATAATGTCTGTGAATCAGGATATGGGCCTTCAGCAGACACTACACCTGCTGCCACCTTGACTTTGGACTTCCCAGCCTCCTGAACTATAGGAAATAACTTTGTGTTGTGTGTAAATCACCCGGTCCATGGTGTTTTGTTACAGCATCCCGAATATTCTGAAATCCCAACCAAGACACAGCTCAGCTACACTTAAAAAATAGTTGATTTATTGGATGCTGCTTTATGTCAGGTAGTGTGTTAAAGTGTTTTACATAGATTAAATTTATCTTTATATTAGCCTTGTGGTGAATACTATTATTTCTTCCTTTTTACAAACAAGGAAACTGAATCTTAGAAAGGGGAAGAAACTCATTTTGACTCATAACTCAGAACTGGCTTTGAAGCCAGACAGAGTGTCTCCAAAGCCAAAGCCTTAGAGAGCTGTGATACACTGTAGTCTGGTCAAACTAATTCATACCAGGGTGTGAATGCCTGTAGGTGACTGGATGTTGAAATTGAATCTCTTACATGATTTTGCATTTTGAAGGAAGAATTTGGAATCCAAAGATAGAGTGAATGAATGCTAGCATTTTCTGGACAAGGCAGTTAATCTTCTAGGCATCCTTAAATTGTATAGGTTATCAACAGTACAATCCTTTCATTTTCTAAGAAAAAAAATTAAGGCTTGAGTTTATGAATAAAAGAAAGGGGAGAGGTAGTAGGCAGAGTTGAATCATTTTCATTTTTGGAAAGGAAGATTTGTGCATAGTGAAGGGAGAGGGAGGGTCCCAGTGGAGAAGGAGCCACTGGAGTACTCCGTAGAGAAAGGAGACATTTAGAGGGTCCCCAAAGATTTGAAATAGCACTGGGGGGGCATCACTGTGCTGAGCAGGGAAAGCTTTTTTTTCCTCTTATTTTGAAAGGAAGCTGGGGGTGGGGGGTTCGAGTGACAACCCAGGCCTGCTTGACAAGAAAATGGGGTGAGTTTTCTTTTCTGCATTTGAGAATTAGGACAATCATTGGAGGGAGCCCATGCCAATCACACTTGTGAATCAGCCTAAAGGACCCCTGCAGCAAGAGCTGGCAGAGTCGGAGTTGCTTTTCATCTCCTCCCCTCTCTGTCCGCGTCTCCCCAGGCTGATGGCTGACGTCCCTGTCTTCCTCTCACTCTCCCTGGGGCCTCTGATTTCTCTCCGTCTCTTTGAAGATAGCCTGAACAAGTGTCTCAATATACCACGGATGTGTTTTCTGAAGAAACTGTGTCTGAGCACCAAGTCCCAAGTCAGTGTCCCCAAGAGCATCCCCTTCACTTGGGAACACTGGCAGTGTAACTGCAGGCAAAGTCTCTGTGTGCAGGAAGCCGGAGGGTTCAGACAGATGAAGGACCATCTCTAACTCAATTCTCTTTCAGAAGAAGAGGAAGAAGACCAAAGCAGTGAAGACAGGTTGGACAGTACAGTCAGAACCCCTGGGCCCAGGGGGCCGGGTGGGATGGCGTCAGAAGCCCAGCTTGCTCGGAGAGTTACCAAGGGAAAGAACAACCGGCGGATGCTGTCCAACAAGCCACAGGACTTCCAGGTAGAAACAGCGTGGGACTCTGCATCCCATTCAGTCACCACACAGCCTGACTCCCCACAAGTGCAGTCCTGCTGTGGTACACCTGTTCTTCTGGGCAGTGGCCCACCTGGTAGAAAGTGATGTCAGGAAATGAACCCCACAAAATCCCCATTCGTTGTTCTGCATGCAGAAGTAGATTTAGTCAGATGAGGTCCTTCCAAGGAATAAGACTAAAACCTTCCTTCCTTTTAGAGATAATCAAAGAATAGAATCGCAGATGCTGCATCTTCCCCCGCTCTGGGCAGCTCTGCCTTAGACTTCAGAGACAGCCCTGTAGGCAGTTGATCAGGGCTCAGGAAGACCAGGTAAAGGGCTGGAGGTGGACCAGTGACCACCTTAAGGAATGATCTTGCCTTGAGCGCCAGTGCACTACACAGCAACCTTAGCCTGCTTTCAGCCAGCTTTATGAGTCAAAGAGTTGAAGGGACATCTGAGGACACTTTTCTACCTCGTGCTGAGGAAGGGCCCATAACAACACCTTTTGTGCACTTGCAGATCCGCGTCAGGGTGATTGAGGGCCGGCAGTTAAGTGGCAACAACATAAAGCCTGTGGTCAAAGTCCACGTCTGTGGCCAGACACATCGAACAAGAATCAAGAGGGGGAACAACCCCTTTTTTGATGAGGTAAGGATGGAGAACACAAACTCCTCTCGGGAAGTCTGTACTGTTCACATGCACCTCCCCAACTCCCACCACCTCTGCCTGTCTGTGAGCAAACAACTGGTAACGACGATGCAGAATGACAGATTAAACATATGGAGTTAAGAACCACCGAGCCTTGAAATCACCTGGCGGCTTTGTCACTGGTTCTGAGTGGTCTGTGGCTTTCTGATGTTTTCACAACAACTTCCCCAATGGGTTCCTTCACGCCAGTAGTAGAGCACAATATGTTACTGACATCTAATTTTGCTTTAGTTACACAATGTCTCTAGGGCTTGACTCTGTATGGCTATGCATTCTATGTTTAAGAGATATTAAAACTGACTTGCTATAAAAATGTATTAAAGAATAGCAATTTTGAGCAAACTGTTTTTTTTTCTTTTTTTGAGTTTGTTGGTACATGTTAGGTATACAGTGCAATTATATTCATTATTGGGATCTTGTACCTTTACGTGACAGGTCTTGGTTCTCATTTTTATCCCCTTGACCATGCCCTCCCTTCACCCCCTCCTCCCCTGCCCATTTACAAACACTTTATTTCCATTTTTTCATTTTCTCATTTTTTTTCTTTTCCCTTATTGCCTTTCTCCTACCCTTCCCAAACAGGGTTCCCTCCACCCCCGGTTTAAGACAGAATGCAGCCTGGTTTTGTTGACCTCTTCTGTGACACTTCTCAAAAATTATACCTTGACAATTATCTCAGATGTCACAAAGTTCTTTGACTGGGATGTGAACAGGAGTGATAAGCCTGGGGAGTTATTCTGAGTTTGGTCTTTCTCTGCCATGGGGACACATTTCTGAGATTCCTTGGGCCCTGGGCCTTATGCTGTGTTCTCTGAGTCCAGGTTTTTTCGCTCGTGGCTTCTCTTCCTTCCTTTTAGCTTCTAATCCCATCCTTTTTCCCAGTCTCCATTCACAAAAGAAACTGGTTTCTTCTGTTCTATGTTCCTGTTTCTCATCCTTTGTAAGCTTTGTAGGTGGTCCTATTGTCTGGTCACCTCTCCTTCTCCTTAAATGATTCACAGGCAATGGCGTACACCTAGGTTGTATAAAAGCTCACACCCTGAAGTGGGCACCTGAGAGGGTCTTTTGGGAACACTGAGGAGATTCACATTGGAAGACAGGGTGCCAAATGACCCGGACCCTGCCAGGTGTCAGGGAACACAGTTATGATGCAAGGTTTGTGGTCACTCTGGGGAGCACAGCAAGAATCTCCACCGGGGCTGGGGATTTAGCTCAGTGGTTCTGCTGCCTGCCTTACAAACCCAAGCAAGTTTGATTCTTGGTACCAAAAAAAAAAAAAAAAGAATCTCCACCTTCCTCAGAATTGTCCCATTTTAATGAATTGTTTTGTTGTTTTGATATCATATCACTTAGCAAAAGGGGAAATCAAATTATTGGACTTCTGAACAGATTAATTCATAAGTCCCTAAAAGAAAGTACTGAAAAAATTTCTAGTTTATATTCATCTTCTACCCCAAGAGATTGAACTTGATATAACCAATAATGAAATGAAATGACAAGGATATGTTGATGTGACATCACAGAAGTCATCAGCAATCACTCTGTGTCATGTGCTATTACATGGCTAATTGAATCAGTGAGGAAACATTTACACAAATCTAGAGTGCAGGTGCTTTACAAAATAGCTAGACTCCATAGGAAAATCAAGAAACAACAAGCAAACAAAAAAGTCAATAGTGCTATTCTAGATAAAAAGAAATGCAGAGGTACAACAACTAAATGCTTTATAATCTTTGCATGAATTCCAGATTTTTTTCAAAAAAGAATATCAAGAGCCTTTTTCTGGAACAAATGGAGAAATTTAAAAATTCACTGTGTTTATTAGATGTCAAAGTTCTTGGCTACAATAACAGGATCGTGATTATATAGGAAGATGTCCTTGGTCTTAGGACATATATACAGATGTATTTTGAAAGGGTGAATTGTGGTATCCAGAATTACTTTGAAGTAGTTTAGTTGAAAATAGAGGAAGGTGGAGCAAATGTTCTAAAAGGGTAACAGTTGGTAAACTTAGGTAAAAGATGGTGTTTATTTTATCTTTCTCTCAACTTGCCTGTAGATTTGAAATATTTCTAAGTTAGAAATTGGAGTAAAGTATTTTCTTTTGAATAAGTGCTTTTCTTTTGGGGTTAACACTCACTGGACATGGTACTATCTCTCTATACCTAATATCAATCTCCCAAAAATCAACCTTCTTAAACTTAGCTCTTGTAATGTGTTAAAATTGACTCTGGAAGGCATTAACATAATCTAATGGACAAAGTTTTCCTTTAAGCTGATTTGTTTGAAAAAGTAAAATTGGAATCACTAGACGAAGTTGATAGAGCTAAAAATGTTAGTGAATTAAATGAATACTTTGGCTTGCATCAGCCCTAAGGACATATTTTAGTAAGAGTAGCAACATGAAATGACCTTAGATCCTTATTTCATTTAGCTAACAAATATCTAATCCCAAACAACTTTATCTAGTTAAATAAATAGAATATCTATTACTTCTGTCTTCTTCCTTTTTCTAACATGCAGCAGTGGGTTTACCATGAAGTTTAAGCTCTGGGCCCTTTTCTACAAGCCTGCAGTGTGTTCACATGATCAAACCTTTTTTGAGTGTGTTTTGTACTTTTTTGTTTGTTTGTTTGGAGACAAAGACTCACTATGCAGTTCAGGCTGCCTTGAACATGTTATGTTGCCCAGTCTGGCCTTGAACTTAGCACAGTCATCCTGCCTCAGCCTCCCAGGAGCTGGGATTACAGGTGTGCACCACCACAGCCAGCTTGTCCTGTTTTTGTTGTTGTTGTTGTTTTGTTTTACAAGAGTCTCCTGCTATTATAACACCAGATTCCCACTAACCCTGAATTCCCTGCTAACATTTAAATGTGTTCTTTATTGTTTTCACAGTTATTTTTCTACAATGTTCATATGACCCCTTCCGAATTGATGGATGAGATCATCAGCATCCGGGTAAGAGGAGTATGAGTAGGAAAGGCAGGCTCACTAACTGCCAGGCAAAGATAGTCAGCCTTTCATTGTTTTTCTTTCCTTCAGGTTTATAATTCCCATTCTTTGCGAGCAGATTGTTTGATGGGAGAATTTAAGGTAGGAAACAACAATCTGCTTCATTCAACTTACATAAAGATCAGAACTTTCATAAGAGAGAAGCTGATTCATGTCCAGGTCCAGGAGTACTTGTCTTGGTGACATCTTAGGGTCATATATAAGGGGTCAACACCATGATCCTTGCAGAGGGCTACCTGGTTCTTATCTTCTTCTAAAATATCACAATTAATAGTGCAAAGCAAGTTGCCCTGAAGCTGTTGCCAGCCTTTCCTCTATGGGCAGAAGCAAGCCTACTGCTTCAAAGGGAAGGGGTGCTTAACTGGCAAGAAACCCTTACCAGTGACCCCAAGCCTCCTTCAATAAAGCCAGTTGTAAATCCAGAGTGTGAAAGGAAAGGCAAAGCAGGCAAGAGAGTCAGCATGCTTTTCTAAGAAATTCACACTGGAATTAACGGATAAATAGACTTGGTTGGCTCCTTCTCAGCAGTTCTCTGAGAAATGAGCAGCTGCCTCTGGAAGGAAGAAAGCTCAGTCACGAAAAGTCCTGAAGGATGATCTGAGTCAGATAGATCTGTGTGTGTAAAGAACATAGCACAGCACCTGACACACTGAGATGCCCAATCAATGACTGCAGTAATATTAGCAATAGCAATAGTTGGAGGAGCAGGAGTACTAGGTAGAAGATTGAACCACATGAGTTTCTGTAGGGTAGTTAATGGTCCCAGTTAGCTTCAGATTCTCAGTGCTAAAACTAAGAAAGGCTCAGGCAAACCGAGACAAGCTGGTCACCCCTATTTTCATGGCCTGTTCTAGCTCCAAGATTAGGCCATTCATCCAGTAGTGATTGTCCGGGGTTGTCGGTGTTCCACACATCAGGCAGTGCTCTGGAGATGGAGAGAGTAAGATGGAAATTCAAGTCTAGTTGGAGAGATTTAAGTCAAGTCAAGGGCACTGTATTTATTTTTTTAATTGAATTTATTGGTACATTCTAGGTAGCAGTACAGTTACATTCATTACTGGGATCTTGTACCTTTACATGCCAGGTCTTGGTTCTCATTTTTTTCCCCTTGTCCCCACCCTCCCTTCACCCCCTCCTCTCCTCCCCACCTTCAAACACTTTAATTCCATTTGTACATTTTCTCATATTTGTTTGCCTTTTCCCTTATTCATCTTTCCCTATCCTTCTCACTGTCCCTACACCTTTGGTCCTTTTCTTGCTATTTCACATTGCTAATAAGGGCACTGTATTTAAATAGAATAATGATGCTTTCTTTGAAGTGATAGAACTAATTTTTTACTTAAACTACTTTCTTTTTCCCAGATTGACGTTGGATTTGTTTATGATGAACCTGGTAAGTAATTGTTCACCTCCATTCATTTGAAGCCTCAAGTTCATTTCTTCTTATCCTGATTCTAGGAATCAAGAAAAATTCAGAGGTCAAGGAATCAAAGTCAAAGGATTAAAAAATTATTTTCTTGTTGGGAGAGAATGCTTGGTTAAAATGAATGACAGTAGCTTAATGTGAATGTTTACTTTATCTTGACATTTCAAGTAATTTCTATGTTTTGTGAGGATAATTTTTACCTTATCAAGAAGGGATTATAAAGTCAGTAAATAAAGCTTAGAGACTTTTGTTTGAGTCATACTGGGACCAAAGGGTAGAAAAGGAAAGGGGAAAAGAATGCAGAACAGAGGAAAATAATACACAGATTTTTCTGGGGAGTTTGTTCTGCCCATATGAAGTTTCCAGAGACACATCTACTGGTCTTAGAGCAGTTGAAATCACAGCCCCACAAGCACGGCTTTGGAGTGTCTCTGTCCTTTTGCTCCTTTGTTTCAGGTCATGCTGTCATGAGAAAATGGCTTCTTCTCAATGACCCTGAAGATGCTAGCTCAGGCGCTAAAGGTTACATGAAAGTCAGCATGTTTGTCCTGGGAACTGGAGATGAGCCTCCTGTGAGTCCGTAAACACTGTACTTTTTACTCTTTTCACAAAAAGCAATCAAGTGAGCACCACTAGTTGTGAAAGGGAACACAGCTTCCATCCAGTCAGTCACCCTCAGCCCTCCAATTCCTCCTATTCTCAAAAAGATGCTCTAGGCTTCATCACAGATCATATTCTAGCCCACTTATTCCCGGTGTCTAGGAGTGAGTAATCCAGAAAGTGTATGTGTTTTATTACTTCTTGCATTATTAAAAAGACTGATTCTGTCTATAGGGCATGGCTTATTTATACAATTGGGCATTGTTCCCTAAAGGGTTTGTGATTATTCTGGGAATTTGGGCAGTAAACTGGGGAATAATAACTGACCAGAGAGAAATTAGAAGCACATCAAGATGTGCTCTCTCTGTCTCTGTCTGTGTCTCTCTCTCCCTCTCTCCCTCTCCCTCTCCCTCTTTCCCCCTCTTTCCTATTTGATATTCATAAGACTACAGAAGGACACAGAAACATATAAGCATTGACCTTGTACAGCAGTTATGAAGTCGAAAGAGATTCTCAAGCTCCAAACACAGAAAATCCTAATGGAAGCAGTTTCAGTTGGTTTCATTTTACAAGCATCAGCTGGGGTTTTTTTTTTTCTCGGGTGCTCCTTTGGTACGTGTATAATTTTAATCATGTGTCTCCAATAGCCTGAGAAACAAGATCTTGATAATGACAGTGATGATGTGGAGAGCAATTTGTTACTCCCAGCTGGCATTGCCCTCCGGTGGGTGACCTTCATGCTAAAAATCTACCGAGCTGAGGATATCCCCCAAAGTATGTATTGATTTAGTTTTGCACTAGATTATCAGTTATCTGCTTGATGAGATGTGTTAAAATCATACTCTGATGCTCCCTGCCATAGGTTTTTCTTCTGAAAGGACTTCATGGATTTATTTTCATTCATCTAGCCCCATGGGAAGCTTCCTGAGCAGGCTCCTGGGGAAGCCAGTTGATTGCTGATCCTTGTTCCTTCTTGAATACTTACCAGCCTTTGGGCTATTCTGCTCTATCCTTTCTTCCATCCATGTTCTATGTCTTTTTCTTCGAGAGAATACTAAAGAGAGGTGAGCAGTCAGCATTTCCAATTTCTCTTTGTCCCAAATGAAAATGTAAAATTTTGTCATCAAATAAATGTGTTTTCTATTAGACTATTAAAAATAACCAAACAAAGAGCAATGAAGTCCTAGTGACTAGAAGTCTATTTGTATGATCTTATAATACAACCCCTGTTGTAGCATAAGATATTTGCAGTGAGAGACTGGACACGTTTAAGGGAATGGCTTGCAGCTATCCCATGTAAAGGGACTAATTAGCTACTCCCTCGCCACTGCTGGTGGCCCAGCATCGTGTCTGCCCTGCCTGGGCCCTTTGCCTCCTGCTGTACTCTGGGACATAGATCTTTCTCCATCTCCCCACAGAACAGACTGTGAAACTTTTCAAGATTTGCTGCTATTCCTCAGAAAATGTCTCTCTCTCTTTTTTTTTCAAGATCCTAGAATGCTTCACCATATGGTGTTCCTCTCTTTTAATAAAGTAAATTCAACTTCATATTATGCTTCCTATATTGACTTGTTCAATTGATCTCTATCTACTTTGGAATTTTTTAAAGCAGAGAGACCTATGTCTGTACTGGGTTCAGTGTGTTACAATTGCTATTTATGAGTATGACACATTTTCTTGAATTTCTCTAAAATGTAGGACTGGGCCTATTTTATTTTGTCCTGAGGCTCCTTTTCCAAATTGAAACCATGCTTGAATTGGAGAATTGGCTCTGACTTTTAAATTCTACTTTCTTCTTCCACAAAGGATCAGTTAGGAACACGATAATTTATTGTTTTAGTTTTTAAGGTGCTGCTATTGTTTTCAAAATTTTGTGGGGAAAAGACATTTTTTTTCTCTCTCCCTCTCTCTTACATAGGACAAAAAAGAATTTCACCTACTATTTCTTGTTGCTGAGGAGAATAATTCTTGCTTACCTGCTTTCATGTGTAGAAGACAGTTTTAAATTTTGCTGAATATTTACCATTCTTCTAAGAGAACTGAATTTTATTTTTGCTTTATGACATATTACTTTCCAGTGGATGACGCCTTCTCACAGACGGTAAAGGAAATATTTGGTGGCACTGCTGATAAGAAAAACCTCGTGGACCCTTTTGTAGAAGTTTCTTTTGCTGGAAAAAAGGTTTGTATGTGATCTAAGCGCTGATGCCTCTTAGAGTAAATACTTAAAACTCTGTGCTTTCCTTGGAGCAAATGCCTGCTTACTTTTTGTTCACATAGCCCCCCGATGAGCATACTGCTCTGTAGGAGCACATATTACCTGAATATGAACACACCAGACTTCTCCACAGCTTTATTTTAGAAAAGTATGCAGGACTCAAATTAGAAAATTCGGCCTTTTGAAAGATTAGTGTCAAAAGCTACCACTGAATCATCGGGATTATGTCCCAGGTTCTAGCATTATCTTAATCTTAGGCAAGCCAGACACAAACATCCCTGCTAAATATAATAGGCTGCGCACCCCAGCCCACTCCGACAACTTCCAGCTGCTCCCTCCTGGCGTGATTCTCACCTGCCTTGCCCCAGGGAGCAGACCAAACTGGAGAGTTGGGCGAGGACGCCTCAGCCTCATCTCCTGGGAGAAGCTGGGAGACTCGGTGTAAGGGCCCTGTGACCACTGGAGAGGCAGCCAAAGCAGGGTGTTTTATTCCTCAAAATGAAAACACAACCTTGGACAGTTGTAGCCATGAAAAGCTAGTCTCCTCCATGTGTTTGGGCCATTTACTTATGAAAGCAGGATTTAACAAACCATACACATATTACTGGATGCTATTTCCTAGAATGGTCATTAAAGGTGTGGTGGAAAACCTCTCACCTGTCACTTAAATTCAGGCTTCACTTCACTCAACAGGCAGACATTTTCCATAACCTCTAAATTTCCATTGTCAAAACTATAAATATGGTTAGTACTAATCTTGTAGGACCTTTGAGAGGATTAATTAACTTGAGAAGAAATAATTGTTAGCCTGCTAAGTACCAAATACTGTCCCATGCTCTAACAGTGTAGAAATGAGCATGTAGGACAGTTAATGTTCTCTGCAGGTTCATGTGCAACCTAGAAGACTTAGTCCAATTTCTGTCACTATAACAAAATACCTGAGCCTGGGTTATTTACAGAGAATGAAAGTTTGGGGCCAGGGATTTAGCTCAGTGGTGCTGCTTCCTGCCTCTCAAGCACAAGGACCTGAGTTCCATCCCCAGTACACACACACACACACACACACAAAAGAATAAAAGTTCATTTGGCTAATGCCTCTGGAGAATGGGAAATCCAAGAACATGGAAATGGCATCTGTTTAACATCTGGCGAATGCTTTCTCACTGCATCTTAGGGATGGGGCATCACATGGGGAGACAGAGCAGATGCTAGCTCAGGTCTCACTTCCTCTTCTAATAAAGCCACCATTGCCATCATCCTGGAGGGAGCCACATCCTCTCAACTTCATCTAACCCTAATTATCTCCCAAAAGCCTCACCTCAAAATACCAGTAGAGTATGAGTTGAGGGATTAAGTTTCCAACACATGAACTTTTGGTGAACATATGGAAACCACATCACAGACAATAAACAAAGAAATAAGAAATTGAATAATTTGAGATGGTGCTAAGAACTACAGAAAATAAAGCAGGTGATATGACGTGACCAGTGTGGAGAGGCACAGCTAGTGAAATCACTGGATGGGACACCTTTCCGAAAGTAACATTTAAGCAGAGGCCTTGATGTGCAGAGATTTGAGGTACAGGAGCTTCAGGTAAAGAGAAGAGCAGTGGAGGAGGCTTGTTTGCAGCACAGGAATGTCTGTGTGGCCGGAGGAGGAGAAAGTGGGAGACAATTGAACCCAGGTCTAGGTCGGAGAGATGGAGGGGCAGGGATCTGGACTTCATTCTAGGTACTTTGTGAGTTCATGGATGATGTTACACAGTGTAATGACGTGAAAGCCAGAAGGCAAGAAAGAGAGGGGATTCTCACTGGAGCCAGCTGTGGGCACTGAGGGAGAAATGGTTCAGTGTCTGCACAGAGTTACCAATGTCAGGATTTACTAACGGACTGCATGGGGAAAGTGAGCGGCAGGAGTAGATGTCGTGCTGACTCTGGTTCTACACGCGAGCAGCTGTGTAAATGGAGACAGAAGCACTGGGACAAGAACTTTGAGGGGTAAGGAGGAGGCTGGTGGGCAGCATCCATTTGATCCATTTGGATGTATTGGGGATGGGAGGCTTATCAAGCAGTGTATAATAAATGATCGATAAACTTTAACTCTTGTTTTGTTACCTCAATCTAATACTGGACATCTGGCAATTTGAAATTGATGAAGAGATGGATTTTAAAAAGCTTTTAGTGCATAAAATAACAAATATCAATATAGAACCCACATCATATTTTACTAAATCATATTGAGAAAAATAGTTGGGGGCCGAGTGGTGAGTTTGCAGGCTAGGGGTGGAGCACAGGCTTTGCATATTTAGGGCCCTGAGTTCAATCTCAAGCACAGAAGAAAAAAAGAAAAGAAAAATAATAGAATTTAAATAGGTTACTAAGTATATAACCAGTAAGTGAACTGATAAAAATCATCATCCAGTATGCATATATTCTGAACTGTCAGAAATTAGAAACTTGAGAGTCTATGGTTTTGCTTTGGTGCTTTTGCAGGTCTGCACAAATATAATTGAAAAAAATGCGAACCCTGAGTGGAATCAAGTTGTCAATCTTCAGATCAAGGTTTGACTTTCTTTTCTTTCAGAAAAAGTAAGACTACTTTCATACTTACTGAATAAATGGAGAAATAATTACCTTTTTCTATGTTCTTTTAACAGTTTCCTTCAATGTGTGAGAAAATAAAACTAACTGTATTTGACTGGTGAGTTGAAAATAGACATCTAATTATACACTAAAGAATTAAACATGGGTATTTTAAACATTACTCTAGCTGATCTTACTTTTTTTAGTATATTTGTTTTCTTTCTTTTCTTTTCTTTTTTTTTTTTTTTTTTTTTTGGTACCAGGGATTGAACTCAGGACCTTGCACTTACGAAGTAGGTGGTAGAACCACTGAGCTAAATCCCCAGCCCTTTAGTATATTTATGTTCTTTCCACAGGAAGAAATTACTTCATTCCAATAAACTGCTCCTGGAATGGGGGGGGTCTTAAATAATAATAATATTAATGCTAATGGTTTGGATATCTTGGTTTAATATCTCATAAACAAAAGAATGGGAAATTTGTCTGAAAATGCTCAAAGATAAAACCAAGGATTTAAACATCATTAGGCTGTCCAAAATAAACATCAGAAATAGAATTATTTTGGGGAAGAATAACCAAGACATTCTGAGAGTGATTCTTTGTTATTATTAGAAAGAAAAGTGGATAAAACCACCTAACTGAAGGCAAAGAAAATTCACTGAAATGTTCTAATGGAATACTAGAAGCACCCCAGCACTGATTGGCCATAACAGGATCATGCTTAGAATGCTGCAGTTGGATGGAGCATTCAACTAACAGAGCTCAGCTCTCTGAGAGAAGAAATATGCAAATTCATCGTCATCATAATCAGCCTCAGTGCTTATTATATTAGCTTTCATTTTTTGTGCACTGTTAAGCGCGTGGCACTGAGCCTTTCCTGGTATACATCACCACATTTAGTCTTTAGAGTAACCCTGTGAAGGAGGAACTACTGTTAGCTTCACTTTACAAAGGAAGAATCTGAGGTTGAGAGAGGTCAAGTAACTTGCCCAAGTCACTTGGATGGTTAGAGAGCCAGAAGGCTCTCACCCTGCCAGGATGTCTCCATAGTTTTTCTCCTTTGTACAAATGTGCTTGACTCTCATGTTAGTACCCTGTTGGCATTATGGCAAGAGGACATGTTGGGAGAAGAAGAATGGGTCTGATTTTGTTTGATGACCATATTAGCATTCATTGAGAACCACAGTTGGGCCATGCGGATAAAATATTCCATTCTTTAGTGTAAAAAAAGTTTTACAGTCTGGGGCTGTAGCTCAGTGGAAGAATTTCGCTGGTCTAGAATGTGTGAGTTCTATCCCCAGTACCACAGCAAAAGAAAAGTGTTAAGGCATGCTCAAACCTCAGGCTGTAAATTAAAAGTGCTCTAGAGGTCTCATGGACTCTCAGGATTTAGCTTGGGTGATAGCTGTGAACTATAAATTTTGCAGTAGGCTGATTGTGATAGAGCTGACTTCCAATTACCTGTTGTTATTACGAATGTAGTTTTTTTTTTTTTTCCTAAACTTACCTCATCTTTCTCCAATACATTAGTGTAGATTGGGTGCACAGAGAGACTTGTTTAACTGGAAAATGCTTGGAGATGAGGGTGAGAAATTTTCGGGTGATTTTGAAAACAGTAAATTCCTGAACAGGATGATTTCTGAGGTCTGTGGTATTTTCCAGCTCTTTGTTATTGTTGAAATGAAAACATATTTTTAGAGTAAGAGGCCTTAACCTGTTCTTTTGCACAGGGACCGTCTTACTAAAAATGATGTAGTTGGAACAACTTATCTATACCTCTCTAAAATTGCTGCCTCTGGTGGAGAAGTAGAAGGTGAGTCATTCAACAGATCTAGAACAAGACGGGATACAAAACTCCCAGAGAAAACGTAAGCTTGGGAAGCCACCTGGCAATAGGCTTAGTTTCTTAAAAGGTAAATGTGAGGAGACTATGAGCATTTCAGTGATGTTTTGGTGATGGCCAGCAAAATAATTAAAAATAGAAGCAACTAATAGTTTACTGATTTTAGCTTTCCTATTCACATACAAAACCCCTTTGTCAGTAGCCATTTCATAAATTGCTTTATTGTAAATACAGAGTACCAACACTTCACTTTCTTAGAATAGTGTTGACACAAATCCACCCAAACATAAAGAAATATTCCCCTCTCAGCTGTTTCTATTGATAACAAAGAGACCAGATGCCAATGAACTATGTAATGTGCATTTAGTTTTCATTTTAACAGGTACTGAAAATCAATACATTTTCTTTTCATTGTTTTGCAAATTGGAGAAATACCTGTGCCTGGCATTATAATTCTGTGGATATATCAGATATTGAAGTAGATAATAAAGGAAAGAAGTTAAGATGATAAGAAGAAAATGTCTGCACAAGGACCTAAGTTTGACCCCTGGTACCCTCCCCCAAATCAAGATAAGAAGAAAATGTAATGTTCAGACATTAATATAAGCATCTTACATTTTGTTACCAAAGCAAAAATTCTTTGCCACTAGATCAAATATACTAAGACAAAGGAGAGAATTTGAGACAGACTTTTATCTTGAGAAACTTGTTTCCTCTTATCTTCATTTTAAAAGAAGACTTTATAGGTTTTCTTAAAATAGTGTTAACCCAAGCAATAGTATGAATAAGAACATGGAAGATTAGAGATGTGGTGAAGAAAATATCAGTTTCTATCTCAAGAAGCTAAAAAAACAGGTAGTTATAAATCCATAGAAAAATGAAGAGAGCAATAAAGATATAGTTCAAATATAAAGCCATGTATGACATTATTTTAAGCAAATGGTAAAAGGTAAAAAGATCCCATTTAAACATTTTCTACTGAAAATGGAAACACGATAGTGGAGGTGTAATGAAAGGAATGTAATCTCAACCCTTTCCTTCTCTACAGAGAACAATACTTATATGGTTGTTGTAGAGTAAATACTACTTATTTTGTTTTTACTAAACCCATAGCCCAATTTCAGAATAGAGTATAAATTTCATCACCCATCACAATATAAAAGTACCACAGCTAGATATCGGAAATGAAAGAGGAAAAAGAATGAAGGTGAAAGGTAGGACAGTCATCTTAGCTTGTATACTTCATAGCTGTGTAACTGACAGAAAGCTAAGGGTTCTTCAAGTGTATTCTAGACTCATCTGAATGCACAGAAAATATCCAAAACACGTGCATGTGATTTAGTTCCCATAAATAATGTTAGCAGCCTCTTCTTACGGAGTGAGCAATCCAAATATAAGCATATAGACTTAATTACAGAGAACCATACACATGTGTAGATACCGAAGAGTTTCTCTTGTGTGAATAAACTATAATTAATAGTATATAAGATCCTAATGAGGTATTGACAGTGTGAAATAGGAAGAAAAGGGCTAAAGGTGTAGGGAAAGTGGGAAGGGTAGGGGAAAGGTAAGAAGGGAAAGAAAAATATGTGAGAAAATGAAAAAAATGGAAATAAAGTGTTTATGAATGGGGAGGGGAGGAAGAGGTGAAGGGAGGGTGGGGACAAGGGGAAAACATGAGAACCAAGACCTGTCATGTAGAGGTACAAGATCCCAATAATGAATGTAACTATACTGTATACCTAAAATGTACCAATAAACTCAATGAGGAAAAAATAAATAAAATAAATTACAGAGAACCAGTAGGAATTGAAAATCATGCCATGCTTGATTCCCACACTATAATAAAAATCATGCTAGAATGCTATGGAAGATGTAAAAATCCACTTATTGTTATTAGGAAGTCATTTACCATTATCTAAAGATAATTATTAAAAATACTTTGTGTAAGTATTTAATTTAGTGATAGAGGGATAACATCCACAAGAACTAAAAGCAGAGGTTGTTACAAGCAGTTTGATTCCCTGTCTCTGAGACTTCATAGCAGGCAGCCTGTTACAGGATTGCAAAAAAAACAATGAGCTGTCATCCCCTCAAAAGAAACAAACCATGCTGTGAATGAAATAATGTATGATTAACTATAGGCATACATGTAGAGGCAAGATCCCAATAATGAATGTAACTATACTGTATACCTAAAATGTACCAATAAACTCAATGAGGAAAAAATAAATAAAATAAATTACAGAGAACCAGTAGGAATTGAAAATCATGCCATGCTTGATTCCCACACTATAATAAAAATCATGCTAGAATGCTATGGAAGATGTAAAAATCCACTTATTGTTATTAGGAAGTCATTTACCATTATCTAAAGATAATTATTAAAAATACTTTGTGTAAGTATTTAATTTAGTGATAGAGGGATAACATCCACAAGAACTAAAAGCAGAGGTTGTTACAAGCAGTTTGATTCCCTGTCTCTGAGACTTCATAGCAGGCAGCCTGTTACAGGATTGCAAAAAAAACAATGAGCTGTCATCCCCTCAAAAGAAACAAACCATGCTGTGAATGAAATAATGTATGATTAACTATAGGCATTTGCTTACACGGCTTCAGACTAAACCTGGATTTTCTGGCCTCAGTCCCAAGTAAGTCAGCCACAAGACAAGTAAATGTGTTACTGAAATTGTGGAGTGTTGTCGACTTCACTAGGTGTCCTTTGGCTGTGGAGAGCTAACTCTTCTCAGTTACATACCTGATTACTTGGGGCTGACGAATTTGGGTTATATGTGTGATGGTGCTGCCAATTGTCACAAAGTTTTGAGCCATTTCACATTACCCCATTTCAAAAGAGTCATGTGATGTGGGTCTAAATTTTGAATTTTTCTGGTGTTGCTAAACCACTTACCTAGCACGAGATTTGATTAACTTCAGTGGTGTCTGTTGTGTAATGCTCATGTTTCTCTTGTTTTTTAACTAATCATATTTTTACTATATAGATTTCTCATCTTCGGGAACTGGGGCTGCATCGTATACAGGTTTATGCTTTGTAATTTTGCTGTCTATTAGAGCTTCCTATCTATTATCTTACTAAGAATATATTAATTGATTGCGTCTAGAATCTTTGTTGACATTTTGTTATTTCACAAATAGTTTTGCAAGACTAATGATTTTTATGCACATTGTATGTTTGTTCTGCATAGCTAAGTTTAAAACAAACATGCTAACAAGGCCTTGCTACATAGTCTAAGTGTTTAATTGGACGCACACCATCCCTTTTTATTGCAAATACTCCTTTGTGAGATATAACATTATTATGTTTAAAAGTTCAGTAAGTAGAGATACGAAGCACTAAATCAATTGTTCTGAAATGTATGAAGTATCTTTCTCTCACTTTCATTCTGGCTATCTAGATTGTAAGATATGAGCATTTTCCACTTTTTGCCCTAAAGGTCAGCTCCCAAATTTGAAGCATCAGCTCATGTACTTCGGTTTGTACAGCACTCGGCATTTTTTGCAAGTTTGCTTAATGTGACTATCACAGTTCTCCTGAGGCAGATGTCATTGTTCCTCCAATAGATGAAGATTCGGAGATATAAAAAGATCTTCTGCCAGATAAATATGCTAACATTTGCCATGGTAACTGCCCAGCATTGTGGTGGGAGAAGGGAGTGCATGTTGGAAAGCTTTGCAAACTCTCAGCCTATGTGCAAATAGAAGGCGATATAATTGGCCTTTCCATTACTGTAAATGCCCAATTCTTGTTTGAAAAAAAGATCAGTCTCATTATCTTTTATCAGACTTTATATAAATACAAAGTAGTCCATAGGTTTTCCAAAAACATGGCAGAGTTGGAAATGCTTTATTTCTTCATTTGTTCAACCAATTAATAAATATTTATGTAACGACACTCTATGATAGAACCAGTACTGTGTATTTAGTAAATCAAAATAAAATACTTAAATCCTGTCACTCCTCTGGAACGGTTTTGTACTCTAGCCACAGAGATAAGCAGCTATCTGAGGTTCTAAAGATTAGTATGTAAAGTAATTTATAGAAGACCAAAATACCAAGGACTTCAGAGACGTGAGGGAGGCACGGAGATACAGGTTTCAAAAGTGCTTGTCGCTAGGTGAGAGGAAACCTTGATGGCCAGACTAAAGACATCTTGTTTTATTTTGTGTTGGCTCTTCAGGAAGGACATTGGGAAGTTTGATGTGATAACTGCACATAAATTGGGTCACAAATGTTTCAAGAAAGAAAGACACACAGTTTGTGAGTGAGGATAGGTTTTCCCAGGTGACCATATTGAGATATGAACACATGGAAGGAGAATTCTTCATGTTAATGCCCAACTAAACAAAGTGCCATTTACGTGTTTTAAATTGTAGAAGAGATTTTCTTGAAAAAAAAAAAAGAATTAATCCTTTGTTATCAGAGTCCAGGCAGTGGATTGCAATAAAAAGCAATTTGTGTTTTAATCCCTGAGCATCTTTAATGAAAGGCAAATGCTTATGACCAACAACACAGTCGCCCATGGAACCGGGTGGAGATGAGGTAGGATCAGATCAGAGGAATGAACGGTGTAATGAAAGGAAACCTTGTTTGAGCTTTGACACTCAAGGTCTGAGCCCAAATCTCCAACGTATGGGATCTTTGACAAGTCACCTCTCTTCTGGAGGCTTCTGTTTCCCCATCCATTATGGGACACAGCTAAGTGCACTAGCTGGAACATCCATTCCAACTCACACCTTCTGTAATTGAACTTCTAAAATTACTTCTTTTCCTCTGAGCTTCTACTTTAACCCTTTATTCCTACCCAATATCCCTCCCCATATCAAATATTTCAGCACTAAGAAAGAAACCTAAATTCAACTTAACGATTAATTAGTCAATTTTGCAATGTCCCATAGAACAGACTGAATGAAGCCAAACCGATTTATATACTCAGATATAATAGTTTTGTTTTATCCTGTCCAATTGTCTGGAATATGATAGATGATTCAGAGAAATCTCTGCTGGGGAAAATATTGGCCCCTGTATAAGTCACAAGAGATTTTTAAAGAGATGTGAAACGTTTTACCCTAGTGGTGGCGTTTCATTAGTAGGCTGTCCTATGTTACTTTTCTATATTTTAACTTAAATGTTTCTTTTCTCTTGTTCTCTTCACTGAAATTTCTGGCTAATTTTATTCACTGTCCAGGGTTTGTATCTGCCTCTCAAAGTGCACACTCTCATTTAGACACACGGGGAGCTCCACATCATGAAAATGATTGTGAAGTGCATGTGTATATGGTTAGGTTAATTGTGTATTAATGTTCATGCTGCTCACGTGCTACTCAACATTTATCTTTCACCCTTAGCTTTGAGTTTAAAGTTTGAAAAGGCCATAGAAATGCTCTGGTCAACTTCATATTCATAGCAAGAATTATCTTGAAAACATCATAAAAGACAGGCTGAAGTATGCCTTAAAGTTTCTTTTGATTATGCCGAATGTAATGTGTCCCATTGTTTAGCATCTATAATTCATAGAAAGCTCTTCTTTACACCAAATGAATCAAAGTTGGCTTCCACGTATCTTCCAGCTGTGGTCTTCACCCTGCTTTTTGGAGATGAGGACATTTTTCTTCCATATGGAAGCCATTCAAGCAATTGAAATCAGCTCTTACATTCCCTCGACATGGTTTCTTCCTGTTATAGCTGTTTTCTTACACTTTCCTCAGTGCCTTTCCTTGAATCCAAGTAGAAGAAATGTAGAGTTTATCAGATGGTCATCAGAATAGAAAGTAATGAATGATAATGTTCTTATCACTTCTGATTGTCATATGGCTCTATAACCATAGGCAGGTAGTTCGTTTCTACATATAAAAGTTTATAATAGCATCTGCCAGATTTATACTAACTATCTGAGGTTAAATTATATCTTTTGGGGACAAATAAAATTAATCTGATATATCATTTGAATGACTTCTTGAAAAAACATAATCTTTTACTCCAATTGCCAATAAAGTATTTAATGCCAATTATAAACTTGCAAAAAATGTGACGGTCAACTTAAAAATCTCATTATTCTTTCTTTTAAATATTATCTTTTTTTAAGAATAAAATTAACCAAAATACACCTGAAATGTTTTTAAACATATATTTTTAGTAATAATAAAGGGAAATTTGGAAAGTTTCAGGAGTGCTTATAATTTCCACTAACACAACTAACTCACAAAATGGAGGAAAAACATCTCACTAATTAGTTAATAACTAATATTTATTTCAATAGGTCCAATGTTAAAAGCCTAAAATTCAATGATGACATTTATTTCTCAGTAAATACAGGAGAAACAGAGGTGGGTTTTGTTCCAACATTTGGACCTTGTTATCTGAACCTTTATGGAAGTCCTAGAGAGTACACAGGATTCCCAGACCCCTATGATGACCTAAATACTGGAAAGGTTAGTTTTTCAATTAAAGTTGTTATTAATGAGTACTGGCAAATGTGATTTCTTCTTATAATGATGATGATAATTAAGTATTATATTTGGGGACATCCTCCTAATTCATTTCGAGACCTACCATTCTACTGATCAAGTGTCGAAGTGTGTTATGCTCCTTGAGTCTCAGAGTGCAAAAAGAGAAAAAGATTCTGGAGATTATCTAATTTGGTGATGTTAAATGGCATTTTCTCTCTTCCACTGTTATACTTACAGAAAGCATCAGTAATTAATGCTGGGCTGGGATGTAGCTTAGCAGTAGAGTTCTTGCCTAGACCCTGGGTTCAATTCCTTACAATTCTTTTCCATATAATATTCCAGAAATTTACCAAACAATTGTCACTGACATACCTGCTGAAACACTTTGCTATTCCTGATCTGATCCAACCCTTTAATTTCATATATAAGAACACCAAGAGGTCAGAGATAAGAAATGCTCTTTCCACTACAGGAGAAGCCAGACCTCTCTCTTAATTATCTCCCAAGACCCAGGAAAGGGACTAAATGAGAGAAAAGCTCTTGGAAGGGAAAGGCAGAAGACAGCTGTGGGATTGGGGTCTCCCCTACTTTCCAGAAGATTCTAATGTCTACACTGCTGAGTATGGTGGGAGAAATAATTTCTTTTCCTCATCATACTCTACTGTACTCAGAACATCTTCCTCATTTGTTTCCTGCGTTCTCTGAATTTCCTATGGTTGCCAGCATGGAAGCCTCCTTTTTCCAAGAAGATGAGAAAAAGGAGCCAAGTTAATAAAGATAGAACCAGAGGTGTTCTGCTAAAGTAAAATGACAGTTTTAGATCCCCATTCACTTCCACCTCCCTACCACTGCCAGATCTACAGACTGATTTTCATCATGGCTAAGATCCCTTTCTTTTGTAACACCCAACAGTGCTCTTTGGGATCCTTTGTAGAGGAGGGGGCTTTTCATTCAGATATCAAAGAACTGAATCTACCTATAAAAGTTGCTCGTTGATTCATTTTGGAGGTTAGGATCATGGGAAGCGTAACATTTTTGTAACAGTATTAGTCTGACTGAAGAGACCGAGTTCTTTTTGCTATTTTCTATGCCTAGAGAAATAATCTTGTACTCTTGCTTTTCAGGGAGAAGGAGTTGCCTACAGAGGCAGGATCTTGGTTGAATTAAGCACTTTGCTTGAAAAGACACCACCAGATAAGAAGCTTGAGCCCATTTCAAATGACGACCTGCTGGTTGTTGAGGTAAATGTTAGAGTATGAGCCGTGCATGGCAGGTCAAAGGGTAGTTTAAAGGATTGAGGGTAAAATGGCTGGCAATAACTGCTTGAGCAAGCAGACCCAAAGGGAACATCCCGGGATGAAAAGGTAGCAGTGGTAGTTTGGAGAAAAGACCTGCCTTCTAACAAGTGCCTCCGACAACTTTTTTTTTTTTTTGTACCGGGGATTGAACTCAGGACCTTGCACTTGTGAGGTAGGCAGTGTCCAATAACTTCTTGATGTGTCTGCAACAGCCCTGTGAGGGTGATGAGACTGGCTTCATTCTTTGAGACGTTAACACCCTACCCAAAACTGGCAAGAACCGAATACTCTATTTACTAATTGTACTTGGGTGTTCTGAGGAGTTAACCTTAGAATTTGCCAATCAAAGTTAAGCTACAATTGCACTGAGCCTCTCTTTCTCCTTGAAGACCAGAAGTTTTTCACGTTTGTTACCTACTTCCTAGAGTCCCAAGTGTATGCTGTTGGGTCCCACAAATCTGGATTATTTGCGAGAACAACCCACTCCCTGATACTTCTCTGCTCAGGCCCTCCCCTGCTGATTCCAAATCACTTCCAGTCCTTGGGCTGCTTTTATTTTCCATTCTGGGCACAGGGCAGGACTTTCTCTCCTTTACCCTCATTATGGAGAAATCAAACAGCAACTCCTAAAAAACTTTCAGCTCTGGGACACAAGTAGGGAAGCAGTGAAATGGGTAACACAAAGCAGCTGCTAACTATGCCTATTCTGTGAACCCAAGAGCTCAGACCAGCTTTCTGAGTCTCTCATAATAGCCTTCCTGTCTATTTCAGCGTATCTTCTTGTGGCGGGACTGGATTCTTCTCTAGACTGAACCCATCTTCCTTCATCTCAGAGTCAGGTCCAATTGCCAGGAGTTATCCATCCAAGGGCTGCTTTCTTCCTTCCATTAATCTAATGTCTGCCTATTACAAAATCTGTCCCTTTTCAGGATGATTGACAGGGTAACTATCCACTCCTAGAGGAAACTTTCCCTTCTCCCTCAGAACAATGAGGCTTTGCCACTCGCTTCCAAGATGGCAATTACATTAGGTTACTACCCAAAGCAGTATGTTCTAGATTTTTCTGTCTTCCAGCACATTTGAAACATCCATAGTCTAGTTCCTGAGGAAGACCACTTCCCATCTTTTGTCATTTCCGTTAGAAAGAAATGATTCCTCCTGAGATTGTCTCTGTTAACCCCGCACATCGTATCACCCCAGGAACAAAGAGCAGGGTCAGCCTAACTACACAGGAAATGAAACATCTCTTCCCTCAAGAACTGTAACATATCTCTGGCTAAAACATGACCTTAGGGTCTCATGTTACCAAATAGAACTGTTCAATGCAGGTTATTTAAATTGTGAAAGAATTATGGTATGGTATGAGTTTGTTTTCCTTTACAGTTAGGAATGCATCAAAAATTTTTTTCTAAAACAAAGCCTTGAATGTGAACTTATGTTTCTGCCTCTAGAATCAGAAGTTGCTTATGGCTTTTAACACAGCAGCTTTTCCAGTTTTTACACATTAGTGTATCAACTTTAAAAGTCTTAGGGTGGCCTTTTTGCTTAGGTTATTTTAGCTTTGCTGAGCTAACTTCTTACAAAAGTGGATATGAAGACAAAGTTTTTACAATAATTTATTGGGGGACAACTCTCAATAAATTATCAAATTTGGCTTCACTACCTTAATCCTCATACCCCCCTCAATTGATAAATCATAACATTATACGGTTAGTACCAGAAGGTCATTCTTGCATATAACATTAAGGGTTTGACTACTCTTGAATCATCCCAGAATTTCTTGGCTAAGGGGTGAGTTTAAAGAAGATGCTCTGAGGGGCAGGTATGGGACTTCTAGTGAGTGCATCTAGCCAACCATGGGGTGAGAAGACCAGTGAGGGTGAGACTCTATGGCTCACTCTTCCCCACACTGGCACAGCAATTAGGGTGTAAGAGACCCCCCGAATTTTCAGTTACTTTGTTATTGTTCATGGGAAAATAATCGGATATTATGATACTCTTGAATTTTGAGGTTTGCTCTTATCTCAGAAACAAATTCCTTCCAAAGTGGCATGATGCAAATTCTTATGCTGAAATCTAATCCCCCTAGTGATGGTTTTATGAGGTGAGGCCTCAGAGAGCCTCTTTGCACCTTCTACCACATGAAGGCATAGCTAGAAAATGGCTCTTATCACCAAATCTGCTTACATCCAAATGTTGGGGTTGCCCAATCTCTAGAGCTATGAGAAATAGTTATTTATAAGTAGTCAACTTGCATTTGTATGATAGCAGCCCAAATTTACTAAAATACAAATAATGAGTCTACCATAATACAATGGCAAAAAATGACTAATTAAACTGTCTTCTGAAGTGCTGGAGTTATTTTGCTTTTCAAGCTGAATCCTGCAAGATAGGCTGTAAATCAAAAAGAGCATTTATAGACAGATTTTAGGGGTTTATGCTGTGAGATCACGTAAGGCGAATCCAGCTAGTGTTGCTTTTTACTTGTTAAAGAGACAAAACCAAAAGCAACAGAACCTCCAGTCAAAAAGATCCCAGCCAATATCTTTCTATCCACTCCAGAATACTCTCAATTCTACAAAAAGTTCAGGAATCACAATAGACCTTGAGGACATATTCAGGAAAAGCAAAAAAAGGAGAGGGAAGAATGGGAGAATTTACATAGTATTTACTGCCAGGCTCTAAGAGGATGCCTGGAATTCACCTGCTGGTCTCCAAGGAAATACGCAGCAAGGAATGATGATTCAACTTGAGTAATTACTGGCTGGCCTTGATTCTTACCTATGTCAGTTAGAATTCAGGGTTAAAAGAAATGCCATGATGCACAGACATTCCACAATTATTATGCCTGTTTAATTTTCTCATCACCAAAACACAATTGAAGTCCGGGCTCCTTTAAAAAAAAAAAATGTCAAGATAGGATGGAGAGAAGTGACCCAACAAAATACAAAACATGAGCCCTTTAATAACAGAAGTGCAAATAACAAATGAGTTACCTTTACTGAAAATAATAAACACATAGGCAAAGACGTTTTCATTTAGTTTTTAAAAAAGCAAAAAGTAAGCTAGCAAATAATATACATTGCCCATAATACATGTCAACAGCATAAAATAACATTTCATTAACTGGTATATAAAAAAGAATTTGTTTTATTTGCTCACAATAATGAAATACAGCCAACTAAATAGCTTGTGCACTAAGTTTAATAAAAACCCAAAATGAAATAGAAAAATGAAGTGAAACAAATGCATTTAACAGCATTAAAAGGCAGGAGAGGAGCTGAGCTTCTGAGGACCTATCAACACCAGAAGCAAGTGAGGAGCCCTGGAGAAAAGTGAGATAAATATATTTGTGTCAACTGCCAGGAGTGCGTGAGCGAGTGGTCAACCCAGAAAAGACTGTGACCCTTGTCCATCTTACAAAGGTCCCATGTCCTGCGGGGTATGTAAATAAGTTTTTGGAGGAGCACAGGAGGCTGCAACAAAAAGGCAACATAGTTGCCCTATAGCTCAGTGCTCCCCCTTCTCTCTAGAGCAGAGGTGGCCTTATTCCAGCTTGGAGGGACAGCAGGCAGGCTAGACAGCAGAGCCTGGCCTGGCCACTTCAACAGGGAACTAGGTGGAGAGGAGAGGTCCAAGTATTGGCCAACCCAGCATTGTTCCTGTATCTCCTAGCTTCTGAAACCTCCGTCCTGCCACAGGGGACCCTATTTTTGCCCCCGGGATCAGAGATCTGTTCTGGGATTATGTTCTCCCTGCCCTCCTTCCCAGTCTTCTTGTGTGCGACCTAACATTCTGGGAGCATTTTATGAAACTGAATTCTTGCTGCTTCTCAACTGGAACCTCTTTGTGACCACTTTTGGTTGGCCGCAATAAGTACCACTTTCAAGAATTGTTATCCTGTGTCAGTATCCTGATTGACATCTCATCTCCTTCTCCGAATTTACTTCTGAGATTTCTGCCTGTGTTACCTCATCTACAATATTCACTGACCACTGACAATCGGGAGAGCCTGTTTCTGCCCCTGCAAAGAAACATCCCACTATAACTTACTGTTACAGGCTCCTAAGGGAGGGTCCGGAATAAACACTGGGGATCATAATTTCTCTAAATGATGTTTTTTGTTCCTTCCTCTTTCTTCTCCTGTAGCCTGAAGGCACAGGGGAAGTGGGAAAGAGCTGGGGACAGGCAGAATTCTCAGCTGCCCTAACCTAGGACAATGAGACTCTGGGGCAGGAGTGTAGATGGCCAGCTGCTTCTGGAGCTTGGACTTGCAGTGTGGTCTGTGGAGCGTGCCACCTGGAGTGCGCATGCTCACAACCGGCACCAGTCAGCTGGGGGTGTGGGTCATGGCCAGAAACCTCAGCCATTCTTTTCAAAGCTCAGCCTCTCCAGGATGAGGGTCCTATCAGGGCTTCTGTGGAAGATTGTGCAAGTGTTGTGTGGTAACATCAAGGGAGTTCTGATGAGATCCTGGCTTATGTGGAGGTTTTCAGGGCAGAAAAGACCCAGCCAGAGGCGGTATCCCTACTCCTCCGCTCAGCCACCTCCTGAACTTGCTCTGTTCTCTGTAGCCCCTGGCTCAATAGGCAGTTTAAATGCTGATCATTTTCTTCAGGGCCCTGACTCAGATCACAAATTATGTTTCCTACTTTTAGCTCCTTCCCTGTTCTTATATCATCTCCTAAGTGGTTTACAAAGAAGAAGTTACACTGTATATGTGTGTGTGTGTGTGTGTGTGTGTACATACAAATAACTTCCTACTTTTTAATTCTTACACAATCCGGTTGAAAACCCAAAGTTTCCACAGCACTCTTGAACCAGGGCTTAGTTGTGAACAGAGCTCTTGACAAGTAGCTGGAGTTGCCCAAGTCTCTCTACCAAAACGAGACTCGATCATTGTAGGGAAGCTTTTAAACTCACAGTGCCAAACTTATGGCTCCTTGAGTGATTCTGTGTGCACCTAAGGCTACAACCAATGTTTTAGAAAATCTTCCAAAAAAGATTGATGTTGAGAGACATTTCTGACAAGATGTTATTGGAGAGTTTTTTATACCATGTCAAAAATTCCTTTAACCAAATGAAGACTTTTTAATGATGAAATGTCCAGGGGATTGCTTCTTTCTCTCCCTGCACCTACAAGACTAGAGGCTATTCACAGTCAGAAATTTTTTAAATGGTTCTCAGAAAAATTAAAAACAGAGTCACCGTGTGATACGGTAATTCCACCTCTGAGTATAGACCCAAAAGAATTGGAAGCAGGGACTCAGCTCTTCGTATAACCATATTCAAAGCAGTGCTATTCACTTTAGCTAAAAGGCGAAAGCAACCCAAGTGTCCATCAGTGGATGAGTGGATAAACAAAATGAGGTATCTTACTATAGTAAAACGTTATTTAGCCTGGAAAAAGGAAGGAATTCTGACACGTGCTACAACATGGATTATACAATGATACCGAAGATTTACTAAGTGAATTAAACCAGACATAAAAGGACAAATACTGCATCATTGCACTTAAATGAGGTACCCAGAGTAGTCAAATTCAGGCAGTAGGAAGTAGAATGGTGTTTGCCAAGAGTTGGGGGAGGGTGGGTGGGGAGTTACTATTTAATGAGTATAGAGTGTTGCAAGATAAAAGGGTTCTGTGGATGATGCTTGGTGATGGTAGCACAACAACGTGAATGCCCTAATGCCGTTGTACTGTACACCTGAAATGGTAAAATTTGTTATCTTTGCCACAGTTTTTTCAAAGGTTTTTGTAACATTCACCCAAATTCATCTGTAAATATGTGAGCATGTTCTTCCCTTATCTGAGCCTGAAAGTCCGCCTGTAACTATGACCCATTTTCCTGAATAAGGACCATGGTGTGGATGGACAGTGAATGAAAGGACAGTTATGTGATAAGCGTCCTCCAAGGATCAAGTATTTTTATTATAATTATTCACTCATATTAAGTGTACACATCAAAGGGTTTCACTCTGACATTTCCATGCAGGCTTAGAGCGTGTTTCAGTTGTCGCTACCCTTCCTCCTACAGTCTCTTGCCCTCCTTCCTCCCGCCGTCCTTGCCCATTTCCCTAACAGTCCACCTTCTATTTTCAGTTCATCTTTGTTGTTGTTATTGTTGCTTTTGGTACCGGAGATGGAACCCAGGACCTGCATTTGGGAGACACATGGGGTACCACTGAGCTAAATCCCTGGCCCCTCAGTTCCTTCTTGTTTGTTAGTTTCCACGTGTTCATCTTTCTGTGTCTGTCTAATTTCACTTAACATGATAGTCATAAAAAATAATTTTTATTAAGATCCTGGGTGTGAAAGGCATCACTATTTTACTTCTAGATTGTGCTGCAAGTAGTAGGATACTGAGGAAAGAAAATAAATACAGCAAAAAGTTATCATATGCCAAAATTTAATAACTCTGTGACCACTAGTCTCAAACAGAAGAGTACAGAATTCTCAGGTGCTTCTTCAGTGGCTTTTGAACCAAAGCTGCTCTGGTGAGAAATCTTTCATGTAATCTGAATGTAATTATTTATGGGTCTTGTAAGTTAGCCAGTGGAATTCATGAGCAATGTGGCTACTGTGATGAACACCAATGTTCCCACCTCCTACCCAGGGAAGGGTATACAGAGACTGGAGCCCACCAGGCTTCCAGAACAGGCCCTGTGTGTGGACAGTATTAAGTGGCAGAATGCCTAGAACATAATCAAATGCCACTACTTAAGCTGTTGCTTGCCTGTTTGACTAGAGAAGGCAAAGGACCAGAAGGTCAATGGGGATATAGTCCAATAAAAAGGAGAAATGCCATCTGAGCAAAGATTTGGGCAGGACATGAATTCAGAGATTTTATACATTCAGGTCCATAAAGGAGGACTGAAGGGCTCAGATCATTTCTGCTAGGATGGTAGACATTCAGCATGGTTATCTTCAACTCTCTCACACACACATATCCTCAGTAAACCAGTGATAAAAAGATAAAGGGAAGGAAGGAGACCTAATTTCACTTATTTTTAAATTTGACATTAAAATATTTTTCTGATTAGAAGATGAACACTTAAGCAATTAAAAAACTTAAGCATAGGGACCAAGGATTTAGCTCAGTGGTTCTGCCACCTGCCTCAAAAGCTCAAGGACCTGAGTTCGATCCCCAGTACAAAAAAAAAATTTTTTTAAGCATATATAAGGTAGAAAACAAAATTTACTATAGTCTTTCTACCTTCTCTGATATACATTCGGAGTCCTTGTATTCCATACCTTCTTCATGCATATGCCCATACTAAAAACATATTTAATAAATTCACCTGAAATATACCATTGTGGGGGCCAAAGATGAAGCTCAGCCATAGAGCTCTTGCCTAGCATGCACAAGGCCCTGTGTTTGATCTCCAAAACTACAAGTAATATGAGGAAAGTAAAATAATTTTTTTTAATGTTTGCTCATGTGGATCTGATTGTCATTGTGAACTTTCATTCTGTTGCATGTCTGTAACATAATTTGTTTAAGCAGTGACTTACAGATATACATTTATACTTTCACTTTTTTGCCCTCTATTTCTTTTTTTTTTCAGCTTTAATTGAGTTTATTGGTACATTTTAGGGATACAGTACAGTTACATTCATTGTTGGGATCTTGTACCTCTACATGGCAAGTCTTGATTCTCATTTTTTCCCCTTACCTCTGCCCTCCCTTCACCCCCTCCTCCCCTCCCCATCTACAAACACTTGATTTTCATCTTTTCATTCTCTCACATTTTTTTCTTTTCCCTTTTTACTCTTCCCCTACCCGTCCCACCTTCCCTACACCTTTAGCTCCTTTCTTCCCATTTCTAAATGTCAGTAATCTTATTAGAATCTTATGCATTGTTGCAGATTATTTACACCAGGGAAACTATTCGGTATTTACATATGTGTGACTTACTTATTTCACTTAGGAGTATATCTTCAATATGTATCCATTTTCCTATGAATGAATCTATTTTCTCATTCTTTATGGCTGAGTAATATTCCATTTTATAGAAAAACCACAACTTCTTTATCCAGTTTCCAATGGATGTTGCCCTCTATTTCAATCAGTGATGCGGTCAAACATCTGTCTTTTCCTACTTGTGTGAGTATAACAGCAACCCCTTGCATTTAGTTCAGCGAGAATGAATTAGATTTATAATCTCATCTGCTAGAAATCCATGTGTAAGTAAGGACAAAAGTAATTTTGTTTGTTCTTTCTGCCTGCTCATCCTTTATAGAAATATCAGCGAAGGCGGAAGTACTGTCTCTCTGCCGTGTTCCATTCAGCCACCATGTTGCAAGATGTGGGCGAGGCCATTCAGTTTGAGGTCAGCATTGGGAACTACGGCAACAAGTTTGACACAACCTGCAAGCCTTTGGCCTCAACAACTCAGTACAGCCGGCCTGTTTTTGATGGTAAGATTGACCTAGACCATTCTCTCCTACGCGCGCTTATAGCAGTGCACCTTAGACTGCGCTGTCTTCTCCCTCTGGCAGCCATTATTTCCGCCATATTGTTAGAGGAAAGAAAAAGATGGAGGAGACATTTTCATGATACTGAATGGAAAAGAACTACTTATTCCTTTGTTGCTTAATTGAATAAAATTACAGAACACACTACCCCAAACTATTCCTCAAGCATATGGATTATTAAGTAGTTCACTCTTCACATCTCTTTAATAAATTTGTTGTCTAAGTGTCTGGTGTTCACTGACTCCTGATCTTTCATACCAGGGAACCACTATTACTACTTACCCTGGAGCCACACAAAGCCAGTCGTTACCCTGACTTCATACTGGGAGGATATTAGTCATCGCCTGGATGCTGTGAACACTCTCCTAGCCATGACAGAGAGGCTGGTAAGTTTACCTTCCTTACATTTTTTTTCCATTTTTCTATTTTGTTTTCACCAGAATAAATGATGTATCTGTTAAAATACATGCTGTCCCACTATAACACAAGGCCGGTCAACAAGCTAAGAGCCATTTCTGCAGTGACAGCTGAAATAAGTGGATCAAAGCTAGTACAGTGCTTAAGAGGGGGACCACTTTGCCCCCACTGTTCTACTATAGCTAAGGAATCACCATTGTCTGCCCAGTAGAGGCCACTTACCACTGCACCCAAGCTCTGATGTGAAGGAAGGAGAAGGAGTAGAAGACGACACAGTCTTCATGTTAATTAAGAAAGTCCCACAAGAAACACCCTATTTCTATTCACTTTCCATTGGCCATAATGTATTCATACAGCCACATTTCATCACAAAGAAGTTGTGAAATGCAATTTTATTGCATTTTATTTTATTGCTGTTCGTGCTATGATAAGAGGTGGCTAGAGGAACCAGTCGGAAATTTTCTTCTTTTGCCGCAGTGAAGAACTTTTCTTGTTTGGTGGTTAGGGGCTGGTTTCTACTGGTGGAACTGTGTAGAATACCTGTGATTATCCATCTTGTTGGTATTGCTCAACTACACTGGTGAGGAGAAAGGAAATATGTTTGGGATATTTCTAATTATGTAAAAAATATTAATTTATCCCTATCAGGTATGAATAAAGTCTATTGGGTATTAGTGTTTTGATTTCTATATTATATTAATGTCAGGTATCAGAGGGGCCTGCTAGAAAAAGGGTTGTTGGGTTATAAGTGATGCAATATATGTCATCACACTGAACCCCATTAATGTATAACTGATGTGTACCGTGTCAATAAAAATAAAAATGTTAAAATGTTACTAATGTCGATTTTTTCTAAGATCTAAATTTTACCAGGACTGAAACAAGACATGTATGGCCATACTTGATCTAAGACACTATAGAAAAATCTAAAACCAATATTTTATGTTACAAAGACAATGTATAATTAAATTAAATATAATTGTTCATATAGAAAAGTTGCATTTGATTTGCAATGTACTTACAATATTAATTTCTGAATTCCCTTCTCAAGGAAATTGATGGAGAATTAGCCACATCTCTTTTCCAGTTATGTTTTGAATATTTTTCAGCTTTTTTTCAGTTCTTATCAGTTTTCTGCCCATTTGTCAAGCTGCCCTCATTACATGCTAAGCTTGAAAGAAAGGTGACTCTTTATGGCCAGGACTTTGAATATTCATGGTGCTCCCTCCCTCAACCTCTGTTGAGGTCAACCTGTTGGCAAATGCCAATAGGACACAACGATATGGTCTAGGTCTATCTTGTACTTTCCTGTGCCTAGCCCAGAACCATTTCTCAAAGGAGCCCTGGTTCCTTCAATAGGGAATGGCGTTTAAAAAACAAGATTTGGGTGCTGGAGTGCTCAGAGTTCCTGATCCATCATTGTTTCTAAACTGTATCAGCAGTCAAACTGGCACGCACAGGTACACACACATAAATATGTGCATTTCTTTCTTTATCTGTCAATACAGTAAAGGCCATTAGTTTATAAAAATATTTCCAATTCCAAGCCAATAACAGAGACTTTTATTCTAGTTTTTCCTTTTTCCTTCTTCTGGAAGAAACCTGGTCTCCATTATCTTCCGTATAGTCACTCATTGTCAAACTTAAAATTCTTATAAGCCCCTGTGCAAAACAAGCCTTCTAGTTTAATCATAAACAACCATATGTATATGTTTATGATTATCATTGCCTTTTTACTAAAGATGTATAGTCAAAATATTATGATCAGATATTACTTGGGTTAGTTCAATATAATTATATTATTTATCTTAAATATAATTAGGTCATATCTAGAATATATTTAAAAAACTAAAAAAAAATTAAATCACCTAAAATTAAAGAGCTCGTCAAGAAATGAGCAAGAGCTAGGTGTGGTTGTACATGGCTATAATCCCAGCATTCAGGAGGCTGAGGCAGAAGAGTTGCCATAATTTGAGGCTGGCATGGGCTACATAGTGAGTTCAAGGCCAGCTTGAACTACAGAGCAAGACCCTACCTCAAAAAAAAAATGGCAAGAGAAATGAACAGACAACTAAAGAGGAAGAAATTAAATAGTCAATAAATATATGAAAAATGTTCAACATCTCTGTCCGTTAGAGAAATGCAGATTAAAACAACACTAAGATTACTCTGAAAAGAATGGTAGTCAAGAAATCCAACAATAACAAATGCCAGTGAGGTTGTAGTGAAAAAGGAACCCTCCCACAACATTGTTGGTGGGAGTGCAAATTAATACAACCATCATAGAAGTCAGCATGGAGATTTCTCAACTGAAATTAGAAACTCCATATGACCCAGTTGTCCTCCTGTACATGTCTTTCCCAAAGAATTTAAGTTATCGTATTACATTGACACATACACACCAATGTTGTTTTTTTTTTAATTTTATTGAGTTTATTGGTACATTTTAGGGATACAGTACAGTTACATTCATTGTTGGGATCATGTACCTTTACATGGCAAGTCTTGATTCTCATTTTTTCCCCTTAACTCTGCCCTCCCTTCACCCCCTCCTCCCCTCCCCATCTACAAACACTTTATTTTCATCTTTTCATTCTCTCACATTTTTTCTTTTCCCTTTTTGTTCTTCCCCTACGCATCACACCTTCCCTACACCTTTAGCTCCTTTCTTCAAATTTCTAAATGTCAGTAATCTTATTAGAATCTTATGCATTGTTGCAGAATATTCACACCAGGGAAACTATTTGGTATTTACACATGTGTGACTTATTTATTTCACTTAGGAGTATATCTTCAATATGTATCCATTTTCCTATGAATGAATCTATTCTCTCGCTCTTTATGGCTGAGTAATATTCCATTTTATAGAAAAACCACAACTTCTTTATCCAGTTTCCAACGGATGGGCAAATAGGTTGTTTCCAAGATTTAGCAATTACAAACTGTGCCGCTATAAACATGGGTGCACATACTTCTCTGTGACATGATTCTTTTAGTTCTCTTGGAAAGATACCCAGCAGAGGGATGGCTGGGTCAAATGGAACCTCCAGTCCAAGCTCTTTGAGGTATCTCCATATTGATTTCCATAGTGGTTGCACTAGTCTGCACTCCCACCAACAATGGACACACCAATGTTTATAGCTGCACAATTCATAATAGCTAAACCCTGGAAGCGGCCTGTATACCCATCAATACAACTGGATAAAGAAATGTGATATTTATAAACAATGGAATATTACTGGACTATAAAGAATGATAAATTTGAAACATTTGTAGGGAAATCGATGCACCTGGAAAATATAATGTTCGGTAAAACAGATGAGACACAAGTTTAAATATGGTATCTCTCATTTGAGTGAGGCAAAGTAAAAACAAAGAATAATAAAGGATGGCTGGAAGAGGATATCCTGCAATAGGGAGGTGGTCTAAGGAAACGAGGGTGAGGGGAGAGGAGGGAGGGCAGGGGAAATAAGTAGAATAAAGACATGCCATGTACAGGAACTGAATGACTTTATTGAATGTAAACATTATATGCTACTACATGAGCTAAGATTAATAAAATGAACTAGAATGAAAAGTGGGATGGGGAACTAGAGAAGGAGGAAGGGAGGGGATGGAAAGGGGAAGGAGATTTAGAAAAAAACTAGTGCAAGCTGAAAAAAAAATAGTACAACATGTGCATGTACCCACTCCCCAAGGTTACTATAAATGGCAAGTTCTGCAAACACTAGTAAAAAAATGTTTTAAAGC